AGAAACGACACAGCCAAACAACACTTATTCACAAGGATTTCGACGCTTTTGCGCTCTAACCCGCTGGAGAAAGGCCACAATTTAGTCGGTAAAGGGGGGGTGAAGAACACACGTCACTCATTTGCCTTTGCGTTCTCCCGAAAACTCCGGGCCCACGACTCAGGCAACATCGCAGCTAGCTCAAAGTCTCCCCTCAACGGCGGTGACAGAATCGCAGGCCTGAAAAGCCAGTTCGGGACCCCCTCCCCAAAGCCATCTTGCCAGAATAAAAGAGTGATCTAAGGATCTTGAGTATGTGCAATGGAAGGGTCGGGATGTGCATTGAAAGGGTCCGGCCTAAATACCCTGCCTTCTTAGCACGGAATTACGAAAGCATTGGTCTGCAATTGCAGGCATCGGTGTTGCACCATGTCCCAAATGGTGTGTCACACTACCTCCACGGCCCGCAAGCCGCTGCACCGCTATACTGGTGCTGGGGATTCGGGGCAAAATTTTGCGAATATGAGATGGTCCTTTTGCAGGGGTCTGAAACAAGTCTGAAACAGGTCTGACAAAGGGCCCAATGCCAGATCCAGGCATCTCTCTCTCTCTCTCTCTCTCTATCTCTCTCTCTCTCTCTCTCTCTCTCTCTCTCTCTCTCTCTCTCTCTCTCTCTCTCTCTCTCTCTCTCTCTTGCTTGCTTCTCTTTCTTCTCTTCCAATTCTTTTCATTCTGAGATTTGTTGAAAAGCAGCTCACATCCCAAGACGCCAAGAGTTTCAAGAATTCAATAAAATCTGGGAGTCCCGTCCGAGACAAGCTGCGCAATTCCAGGCGTTTATGTAGCATGTAGTTACGAAAGCATAGGTCTGCACCGATATGGCGCCTTAGGTTGGACCTGTGCAATCTGACCTGGCTTGGCAGGAGCTAGCGCAACGCAGCTGCTAGCAATGGCTTGAATTGTGTTATGCCCTGTTTTTTTTTACGGGGAAGGGGTCTGTCACTTAAATACCCTAGTAGTATTTCATACTGCCTCCAGAACCCGTGAGGGTGGCCCGGCCAGCCACATTAAATATCCAATTTAAACAGCCCTGAAGCCCAGGCCCGGCCCCCAAAGTCGTCACCGTAAGTATATTTTTGAGCGCTCTCCTATATATTCGAGCGGCATCTGAGTTTGTCTCCCAGTGATCGCTAACTGCTGACCCCAAAATCGGCATCCTCGACAACAAGTGAAATAAGTGGAACACCGCTTCCGCCTTCAACATCTGTTCATCGAGCTGCGTCTCTTCGTAGCGGGGCGCTGGCCCAGCGCCTGTCCAAACGAAGACTTGGCTAAGCCGCAAACCAATGCTACGTTTCTCGTGGCTCCTAACAAATTGGTTCCAGGATGCTACATCAGGCGACAGTGGCTGTAATTTCTGCGTTGCCTGGGTGAGCGAAAGGGTACCAAGATACATGTAAACATTGCACCTTCTGCTACCACTCAACTTACACGCTCCTTCTTATTGTTGCGTTTTGTCCCGACTTGGCAAGACATGCGCAAGATACCGAACATGGGCCTAAGGCGGCCACACTTGCATGCCTCAGCCAGCCGCCCTACAACCAGCATCTTAAAAGCACGTCCGCACACCACGCGCAACACACTTGCCGGGCGCAGCCGCTTTTTTTGAGCCAAGCCTTCACCACTCCCGGAGCCTTCGTGAAGCCGAGTTGCTTCCAAACACGGCGCAGCCGTCGCGTGCGTAGCTCAGCACGCGCGCTCGCTGCTGCAGCGTCCCGCACACGGCCCCTCTTGGCCTTCTTCCGGCGGAGCCACCGCCTCAACTCGCAGCACATGTGCTGCGTGTGCCGCTTGCGCCATCCAAACGGACACACTTGCCGCAGTACCTTGGGGCCCGCCACTCGTTCTACATTCGCTTGGAGAAATGCGTGCAAGCGGCCCAGTCTCTCTGGGGCGCTGTTGATGGCAGCCTGGGAGTCGGGCTTCCCCCGAAATCCAGTGGCTTTCATCAGGATTGGACGTGCGCCGTGACCAACGATGTCCGAGTCCAGCTGCCCCTTCCTGTGTGACAAGTACACGTCGTGTAGGACAAGTTTGCGAAGGAATGGGCTATGGACGTGGAGAATTTGCTCCAGGGACTCATGAGTCAGCCCGGCAGCGATGCACTTCTCCCACGCTCCCGCGACGGTCAAGTCGTGGAACAGGTCCGCTGCTTCCACTTTCATTGAAAACTTGCCGCGACCACCCTTGCAGGTTCGATGGTGCGCCTGCCATTGTTGCAGACGCGCCCTCGGGCACGCCACATCGAAGGTTAGGGCGCCGATGGCCTTGCGCACACTTGCCCGGGTGTAGTGGCGGGCCTGCATCCCACGCCAGTCAAAGCCGAAGGCATCCAGCGAGCCGTCGAAGTTCGCCACCAATCGAACGAACCAGCTCTTGGCGAGCGCAGCAGCCACGCTGCATCCAACACAGGCCGCCAGAAGTGCCAAGGAAGCTGAGTCCAAATCCGGCTCCACCTCGCAGTGTTGGTGGGCGGGCCACTCCTTGTGCCGGGAGATCACAGACCCTAACGAAGCTTCCTGCGCTTTGGCCGCTGCCTCACCCTCGGTCTTGGCCAGCGTGCAGAGGATGAGGGCTGAAGCCATGTTCAAGAGCTGCTGTTTCACGTGCGACGCAGTTCCGCCCGGCTGGCCGGGGCTGCCAGGAAGGCCCGGCTTGCCGGACTTTCCCGGCTTACCCGGCTGCCCTGGCATGATAGAGCACTGTTCGCCCTTCGAAGTAACGCTTGAGCCGCCAACAGGAGCTGCATCATCATCATCATCGTCCTAAGAACCTCAGCATCACAACTTCACGATGGTTCAGGAGCAACTGCGCGGACACAAACCATGCCAGCCAATTAGTAAGCCACAAATACAGCGGGTCAGCAAACGTGACTTCCTGCCCCCCCAAAAAAAGGTGAGAAACCCTACTTGCCGTCAGCCCCTGTAGGCCCGCTTTAGCAGCTCTCGACTCGAGCCTCCCAGAAAAGGCTTCGAGCGGCTGCAGCCCGCGAAGCAACATGGGACCGGCGACAGCCTGGCGAGTCGAGGTTGCTGCGAACCAGTCGGATCGCGTTCGTTTCTCCGATCTTGCCATGAACACAGAATTTAACTAACATTGAAGGGGCATGAAACAAAGCCAAGCTTTCCAAAAAAAAAGCCCCCATCGGGTTTCGCAGCTGACGTGGCAATTGAGTGCCTCATGAAGCACAAACCTTCGCACAGCGTCAATCAATCAGGTGCGCAGACTGGGCGCCCCTGGCAAGCAAGAGGGCTGCACGCTCTAAATCATGTACCCTCAGAGTGTGGGTTCGCAAGCTTTGGCTACGTTAACATGGGCACCAAGGAAACAAAGCTTGGCCTGCCTTTTGTGGAGTCCAGCATCAGTTCTTCTGGGCACGTCATGGCAGGCCAGAACTCTGCATCAAGGCGTACACAATGCTGCAAATGAAGCAACGCGTTGAACTGTTGAATTCTGTGGCTGCTATGAGTCGCTATAAGTCGCCGCGTGTTCTGCGCACGGCCCTGCCCAAGTTGACAAGCGCCCCCCCCTTCCCCACGTGAGGCGTTTCGGCTTGAGTGGAACACAGACGTGTCGCAGCTCTTCCTAGCAGCTCAATGAGCCAAGGCTGTCCGGATTGCGCATGAAGTTGAATTGACTTTGCAACAAGACGCAGTGCCATTGAAAGCAGCAAGCGTAGAGTGAGCATAATCTTCAGATCCCGCCACAAAACATATCACGTGGCAAGGTTGATGACAAAGCAGTCCCCCGGCCGCGCTCTTCCATGTATGGCTCACGACAGTGACAATCATGCCTGAAGTATCGGTTTCTGCAGCCCGTTATCGACATAACAACTGCCACGCGGCCATGGCCAAACCTAAATTTCCACTTGCCGCTCTCGCGTATATTTCCAATGAAGCAAAGTTGCGCAAAAGCCGGAAAGATCTGGGGCTTGACAGAATGTTGACCAAGACAGGGAACCAAAAGGTGCACAGGTGGCTTTTTGGGTCAAGCCACCGGAAGCTCGCACCAACGCACCCTCGAACGTAACAAAGGTGCCAGCATGTGCCCGAAATTGGGTGACGTCCTCCACAACCCTGCAAAATCCAAGGCGAAGGTACCAGGCAGAATTGAGGATGGTCACGTGTGTCACTCGTTGTGGGAGGGAACCAGGGACGAATCAGAACGACGTTCGATCTCCAGTCAAGCCACAGGCGCGGAAAACCGCGAAACATAAAAACAAAACGCGCCCAGTAAATGTGGCTGTGTCCAGAGACGCCCGTAGAGACAGCAGACGCAAGCCAACACGAACATTCGCATCCAGACAATTCATGTGCGGGGTAGCTTTGGGCCCTGTGGATTCCTGAGCTGAGCTTCTTGTTTTTTTGTCGGGGATTCCCATCGGCAAAAGTGAGAACACTTACTTTAGTCATGGAGGTCAAAGGTTGTGCAAGTAATGCGGAAAACAAAAGAACAACGCCGTTTTTTGGTTTCAAAGGTCTGCCCGCCCAAAGTGCGCAAAGGGGCTGCAAGGGACCTTGCCAGCGGAGTGCAAAGCAGGAAAAAAGAGTTTTTCAAGGTTTGACCGCCCAAAGTGTGCAAAGGGTTGCCCGTGACAAGTAGAAAAACGCAAAGACACGAGCTTTCAAAGGTCTACCCGCTCGAGCCGCGCAGAGGGTTCAGAGGGTTCAGCAACCGCGCGAGCCGCACGGAAAGCTGGCCGCAAAATGGACGCTAAGCGTCCATGGCACCCCCCCCCCCCCCCCGCAATAGTCTGAATGGTGCCCCTGGGGAGGGGTTAGGGGAGGGGTAACAGGTAAAGAGGTAAGGAGCATTTTTTGTGTCCAACACGCCGTCTGTTGTCGGCGGATATTAAAAAAATAAATAACATAGAACACAATATATATATATACACACACACACATATAATGGTTTTTACGGCTGCGGGGCACATCGCTCCTCCAAGCCTTGGCGCCGTGGAGGACCCGAGGGCCCGGGCCATCGTCTTCGTGCAGTGGGCGGCGCTGCGCCGGAAGCTGGCGGCGGCCTTCACGGAGTTCCAGGTGCCCTTCGTGTGCCTCGAGGAGGGGTTGGGGTGGGGAGGTGGTTGGAGGGGAAGTTGGGTCAACACGGGTTCCTTCTTTTTTTCCTCTCCGTTCTCTGAAAAGGGGTTGGGGGGTGGGGGGGTTTTGGTGGTTTTTGGGGTCTGAGATATGAATAAAGGGGGTTGAAATGGGGTCTCTTTTTTCCCCCCTCTGAAACACTCAAAGGGGGGGGGCGTTGGGGGGTGTTTGGCGATAAAGGGTGTGCCCCCCCCAATTGATGAAATTGCCCTTAGGATTAATTCACAAGAATTCACATGAAGTTGGATCCCGGACCCATCCAAGAACTTCAACATGCCTTTTTAGCATCCCTGCACACCCTATCAAAGGAATCTTCATGGGTTGGGGCACAGTACAATATAGGCCTGCGTTTGATTTTCTCTTTGGTCTCCCTTTAAACCACCCCCCAAGAAGTGCCGCGCTTCAAACCACACCCAGACCCAGCCCTTTTTTTGCGCTGCAGGAGGCCGCGGACGGTCGCGCTCTGAACTTCTGGGAACGGGACGATGTGGTCGGCAGCTTCCAAAATGCCCCGGAGGACAGCACCCAGGGGCCCAAGGCGCCGAGGCCAAAGTTCAGGAGGCTTTCTTGGGGGTCCCTTCGTTTTGGTTGGACTAAGTAGGATTTGCCCAGGTCGTGTTGCAGACTGAAATTTTTACAAGCGACATGGCCCAAAGACGACGGCCGCCAAACAGATGTGATCATCATCCCGGGTCGTCTTGGAGCGACCGCCTGCGCATGTTTCCACTGGCAGCTACGACCTGCAGGTGTGAGCGAAGTCCTTTTTTTGGTTGTTGCTTTTTCCTTCTGGGAGGGCGGCGTCACCAATCCAAACCACCAATTCGCGCTATCATATGTTGTTTTTGGGCGGGGGTGGGGTCCCGCAAAGCCTTCAGGTGCTGCTGCTCTCTTTGCAGGACGCAGCCTCCGGCACGAACCTTACCCGAGCGCTGCTGGGCTGCGTCGAGTCGGCATCCGGTCCTGTCTGGCTTCTAAATATGGGGTGCGACTATGGAGGGATCAAAAGTTGCAGGTTTACGAATGTTTCGGTGGGAAATATAGTGACCCCTCACTTTAAGGCTACTTGATCTACCTGGGGTTGACATGGTGTCAACTGAAGGGGGGAGATGCCAAGGACACCCAAGGACTGAAGAACGCTTTTCTCTTGGACCGAGCGAAATCTTGTGGAAGTGCTCGATAGGGGGGGTTGTCCCCCCACTTCCATACTTCCATACACTCACGGGGTGGGGACACGAGCCTGGCCATTGCTAGCACAGCATTTGGCCAGCGGCTTGAAACAAATTGCAACCGTGAGTGGCGGGATGAATTCGGGACCCATTTCGCTTCCATTTCTTCGAATGGGGACACCCACATGGTCCGCATGTCTTTTTTTCTCTCCTGATGTGACAAACAAATAGCAAGGTAGCTGCTTTTGTTATACCTTCGCAGAGCGGGCGTTTTTTTTGTTTTTTTTGGTGGAGGACGCGGAAAAAAACGGCATGTGATTGGGACATACCGAAACAAGTCCCACCCTCGAGCCTTTGAGTTAAGCGACCCTTTGGTTTGGATCGGTTCGGGGATTTGAAGCATTTGTAACCTCTGGCTCTTATATGAAACACCTCCAAACCAATCCCAAGAGGGAAGCTGATTGGGCTGTGCCTTGAGCTCTGGTGTTTTAAATATACGAGATATCCAGTCCCAACTGGCACAAAGAATGACATTGCCGGACCTTGCTATACGTCGCATACAAAGATGTTGCAAGCAGCGCCGACGTGGTTTACGGTAGGCTTTGGATATGGGTTGGCTCGCTTGCATTGTGTCCTTGGAATCCGCTGCAGCTCATATGGCCGTGGGTCAAAGATAGGTACTCCAAATGGAACCATGGAAACACTAAAACCAAATTTTGCGGTCCCCTGGTTTATTTTTGACCCATACCCATATCATGTTCGGTCTCATCCCATGTCCAGTTTTTCCATGAACTCAGCGGGGCACTTCGACCCAGGGTTGGGCATAAAGGGCTTAAGCCAGATCCTGGGGGCCGAGGGGGGGGGGGGGCAAAAAGGAGGTTGAACAAAAACAGCAGGTGTTTCTGAGTGCTTCAACATGTCAACCCAGAAAGGTTGAATCGCCTAACCCTCACTTTCAGCCCATCTCCCATCAGCTCACCCATTACTAGCCACCCACTAACCACCCCGCAACCACCCCGCAACCACCCCGCAACCACCACCCCCCAACCACCCCCAACAACCCCCCAACAACCCACCCCTTCGAACTGTTCAGGAACCACGTGCTCTTCGTGCACCCCATGCTCGCCAAGACCTCCCGCCTCTCGGTGGCCTACGAGCAGCAGGCCCTGGGACGCTGCCTGCGACTGGGCCAGACCAGGCGGGCCACACGGCAGGCCCCCCTTTGGCATGAGCGGGGGAAGGTCTGAAGGGGTTTTCTCGGAACTCGGGGCACATGGAACAAGGGGGGGGGGTCCTTTTTTTGGGGACCCCGAAAACCCACCAAGTGGTGGTTTTCGTTTTGGTTTTCGTTTTGAATGGTCGGACAGCGGCTGTCCTTTTCTAAGTCATAGAACCCCTCTCCCTTCAGGCCAGTGTACCTCTGGCGCTTCGTGACGCTGGGGACAGCGGAGGAGGATCTCTCGTACAGGCTGGCTTCGTCTTCTGGCGCTTGCCGGTACCAGGGATATTCGCATGGTTCAACAAGGGGTGGATGGAGGGATGGATGGGACTGAGGGACTGCAAAACGATTAGATGGTATGAACGGTAGGGACCACTTTGGGCTTCAACCCAGATGCAGTCTCGATGTCATCCGGGTTCTGATCAGCGAGTGCACCTTGCTCCAAGAACGCCGCCTGTGCATGTTTTCTATGGGGCTTCCTTTTGGAGATGCCTTATCCAGTCCGGTTTTGTGGCATGTACAGTGAGCATGTGGATTCCGTCCATCGATTCCTTCTAGGCACCAGCAGGAGCTCTGGCGGGGCCTCTCCGACGCACCAAGACACCGCCGGGCGGCTTCGGCTTCTGCGGAAGCCGCGGCGCGGGAGCGCGAGGCATGGGATGTGGGGCCGGAGGCATAGGTGCCCTTTTTGGTTTTTTGGGTTTAAAAACAGGTGGCCCTGGTTAACCTGGTGCTTTAATCATCTACCATCTATTTCCGGTTTCTTTTGGGGGCAAGACCTACGTGGGCTTTCTTCGAAAAGGTAGGGGACTGATCGGGAATGAACCGGGTTGGGGGGATTTTGTGAAAGGCAACCATAGGGGCTGGTTTTTGGGGGTCATTCCATTTCTCGTTCCCTTCGAAGAACCAGCCAGACTGTTAAAGGGGCTCCTCAAAAGATACATTTTGCCCATTTGAAACATGGCGTTTTCCACCAAAATAAAGGGAAAGCACCATTAACAAGGCATTGTTCAGGTGTATAATGTAAGGATCCCTTCTTTTTCAGGCTTTTGCGTGTGTCCCTTAGATCCCTCGCCTGCCAGTCTGAGTCCGACGTGGACCTCGACGACCTCTTCTGGTGATCGTTTGGAATTTCTCCGCGCGCGCGTGGGATCGAGTGGTGAAACGCGCGCGCGGCGCCGAAACAGGTCCTACGGGGGGTTGGGATCTTATGACTCTGCACAACCTTATATCGACGTCAGCAGAGATCAAGCTTACCCAGAATGAAGCGCTCTTATCGCTTATTTGATTCGTGAATTGAGCAGCACCCAAAACCTCTATTGGCCATTGTAATATGGGCATTGTAGGTTAAGGGCTACACAAATCGTGTTGGCAGGACCAACCGTCAAAGGGTGTCGGGCTTTGGGCGCTGCTCAATTGCTTTCAGGACTTGCCGTGAAGAACACCCTGTCTCGCTGAAGACAAGCAAGTACCAAAAAACATGGAACCAGACAGGGAGTCTTTTGAAAGGAACATGGTCTTCAGGGACCCCCGTGTCGGATTCCATGTCAGTTGGTGGGATGGCAATTTGCGAGGAGGAAAGGCGAGGTTTCCTCGGTGCGTAAGATCTTTTGGCCCAGGAGCACAGAGCAGAGGCGCCCCCTGTGCACGGCGGCTTGGAGACCGGCAAATTCGTTGTCCGTAGGGACACGTAGGTCTGACGCAAAATGTGGGAAGCTTCAAGCGGTGCCGGGCTTTTGTTCAATGGTTCTTAAGGTCAGTTTTGGGGTGCCCTCTCTCTCCCCACCTACCAAAAGCCAACTCGGCACCACAACTGCTAGTGAGGGTCTGTTAGAACGTTCATTAGGCATAGTCCCAACAGAAACCTCATGCAGAGTGATCTTCGCCTTTACCCTGCCTGGGCTATCTTGTCGGGTTTCTCACTGTCTGGTAAGATGACGGGCTCCGATTTGTGCGCTTGAGATACTTCTCTGGGGCGACCTAGCCAACCCTGGGTTTGAGTTTGCCTTCGGGTAAACCAACATGTTTTCCCTGGGCCGAGCAAGGCCGGACATCATGCGGAACCCGTTGCCCGCCAACGTGCGGCGCAAGGCCGACGCGGCGAAGGGTTCAGCTCTAGTGGCAGGGGAGGAATGCTCGTTTTTGGACAGGCTTCACGGGAAACTAAGGTGAACATGTGGGTTTGTCTCAAAAATGTGGGCACCCAAATATGGGGGGTTTGCTTTAACAACCAACAGGGGGTCTCCAAATGTGGTCGAGCGAGTTATTTGATGCACATGACATGATGTATTCACTGTATCAAAGAGTGAGGAGCCGTTCGGAAAGATCCGACCATTTGTTGCATTAAGCGTGTATGCGCACTTTTGGCAGCCACTCTCCAATGACTGCTCAGACATCATCTCCTTTTTGGCCTTGTTGTAAAAACGGCTCCGTGGCCCTGGCCTCCCTTTGGAAAATGCCGGTGGTAGCGGTGTGGTATTGGTAGTGGTAGAAGCAGCAGCATCAGCAGCAGTAGTGGTAGTAGTGGTAGTAGTGGTAGTAGTGGTAGTAGTGGTAGTAGTGGTAGTAGTGGTAGTAGTGGTAGTAGTGGTAGTAGTGGTAGTAGTGGTAGTAGTGGTAGTAGTGGTAGTAGTGGTAGTAGTGGTAGTAGTGGTAGTAGTGGTAGCAGTGGTAGCAGTGGTAGCAGTGGTAGTAGCAGTCGTAGTCCTCCATTTGCTTAAGAACATGTTATTGTCCCTTGGTTTTAAAAGGAATTCATCAGTACTGGACATTTATTTTCTATGTTTTTCCTGGGGCAAATGGAAGTAGTTAGAACGGTGGAAGGGCACCGCAATTCTCGCGGAATCGCAGGCGCTGATCATCGGCATCAACTACGCAGGCCGACTTCGGTCGCCGATCTGGCAGCTCCGTTCTGCCCCGGGTTTCAACTAGAAAGGGGGAAACCACTGCGAAATGTCCTAGATTCCAGCGGGTTTGACAAGGTGGTTAGGCAACTTTGTTTCTGGAGGGTTAGGTTCTTGGATGCTTGGTGGTTTTGCTGCGTTGTTTGCAGCAGACAAAAACATACACCCGCCCCAAACAGTGCGAATAGGAAACAAGGACCACAGAGCCAGAGAAGCTAACGAGGACCTAGGTTCAAGGTCTCTTGGGAGTATCTCGGTAGACGGCTCTCAAGGATATGTTGTCAACACCTTTGCACAAAGCCAATGGTAGGTCCTGTGCAGGATCTTTTGCTGGCAGATCATGTATGACAGGTCTTAAGCAGGATGTAAGTGAACTTGATGGAAGATCGCTTGAAACGTTTTCTCACAGGGTCCTGGACAGATGTCTTGAGACGATATGTTTAGAAGGTGCTCAAAGGGTCCTTTACAAGATCTCCTTGCACTATCTCTAACCAGCATTTGTGTCCAAGGAGTCTTGGTGGGATCTGGATGGATGATCATGCGGCTCTGAGAGCGCATCTATGTAAAAGGTCCTGTGCATTGACACGATATAGGTTATCTTTAGAAGGTGCTCATAGCGTTTTGCGCAAGATCTTCTTGCAAGATCTCGAACAAGTGTCTGTGGATACGTTCTGTTCAGAGGATCTTGATGTGCAGTCCTTAGGTCCTTGTCCCGGATCTCCTGCTGGAGGTCTTTCAGAGGATCTGGGCAGAGCATCTATGTAGAAGGTCCTGCGCAAGACCCCGTGAGAGAATCTCTTTTAGAGAGAAGGTATTCACAAGGTCCTGCGCGAGCTTGCGAATCTCTAACAACGATTTGTGCCAACATCTCTCTGGAGGATCTCGAGACGAATGAAGATGCTCACTCACGAAAGTCGTGCGAAACAGCACAGCAAAGGACTATATGGCAGCTCACTCCTGCGCGATCTTCTTGTTGGATCCCCAGCAAAATTCTGTGTGCAAGGTTTCTCAGGAGGATCTCGATGGGCAGTCCTCTCAGAGATCTGGTTGCAAAAATCTTACACAAGGCCCATGGTATCTCCCGCTGGTAGCATGCGCATCAGTTTTTCGAGAGCATCGACATGAACAGTATTTTTTAGAACGCCCTGCTACAGATGGAGTGATTTGTGCAGAGGATCTTCACAATTTTATGGTCAATGTTCAGATTTCAGACCGCGCCACGGCGCGGGCGACCCCGCGTCGCCAGCGTCCACAGAGGCTTCGATGTTAGAAATTCACACTGCGCCGCCGCGAGAGCGATCCGATGCGACTTGCGTCCGACCATTCACATCAAATGGTAAACAGCCAGAACTTGAAGATTGCATTTCAAGCGGATATCATGAAACCCGCCATACGAATAATTGCCCACATAGTGTGGGTACGGGAGGTCTTACGCCAAGAGTAAGGCAAGGTGTCATTGGGCTCGCCTCGTGCCTGGCGCCGCTTGGTGTGGCCAAGTCTCCAGACTGGGACGTTGGCTTCCTTGTGGTTTCACTCTGAAAACGGGCTGGCACTGTACAAACCTGCACCAGTTGGGATGGAAAAAGCCCTAGAGTCCTAGAGGGGTAAACTATCTACCAACTGGTGCCGGATTTTGTGCACCCACAGTAGGATACACCATGTTGAATTTCCTTTCCTCCTTTCTCTGATTGGCACCGACGGCTCCGAATGCGTTGCCGGACCTTGCCGCATCGCGAGGCTCCCACGCTCAGTTGAAGGGCGCTGTGAATGACGCCTGGAACTTGCACAGCGTCCTGAGGCCGCGGGCTATGTGTCAAACAGGAGACCCGTGGAAATGTGTGGTTTTCCTTCGGGTTTCCCTCAATGCAACCCCAAAGTAAGGCACCGGAATTTCCACTAAAATAAAGCAACGCGTGCCCTCCGAAGGTTCTCAAACAGCATTGCTCATGTGGGGTTCCTGAACTAGGGGGACCCAACAAATGGTGGATTTCAGTTTGGTTTGCCCTAAGTCGCCATCCAACATGGGCCCCCACATCGTGGGTTAGGGGGCCTGCCAGCTTTCCCTTTGGTTTCTCGACGAAGCAATCCTTGTCACACATTGCTGTGTGGCAAAAGGTTGACTGCCTTTGTGAATGAGGATCAACAAGCGACAAGTCTTTGCCTTCTCCACATGGTGATCGTTTCCAACGACACTGACAAAGGGATCCCTCTTGCTGGTTTCATGTTGGTTTCCTGGACCTGGGTTGGGGGTTTGAGGGGATTTCCCAACTTCTGTGCTAGAGGCTTCCACCCCCCCCAGTGAAGGTGTTTGGGAAGGCCTTCCGGTGCTAGCACAGGTGATTCCCATCCTGCTTCAGTCAAAAGGCGAGGTGGCAAGAGCGAACCCACTGATGCCCATGTCATATTGCAAGTAAGGGAACAAGGAACGGCTTTGCGGGTGTGATTGGTTTGCTCGCAAGATGGGGGCATCCACCCTGCCAGCAAAGCTGACAAAAGCCTCCTGCCGACACCTTCCAAGGCCTAGCAAATGGTGAGAGTGCCCTGTAGAGGAGGGGGATTCAGCCTTCCAAGGTGGCTGGTTGAACGCGGGACTTTCTTTCCAGCCATTTTTGGACATGAATCCCTAACTCCCACGTCAGGCAGGCGCTGCTCATGGAGGAGGACAAAATCCGCATCCTGGTGGATGGGGAGAACGGGGTGCCAGCAAGGCCCTCGCAGGCAGGCCGCTTTGGGCGGCGCGTTGGGGGCGGTTTTTGGGGCTCGCGAGTTAAGAACCAGCCACCGCACATTTTACAGGAGATCAACATGCTTTTGGTGGGTAGTTGGCCACTTTCCTGCAAACTTTCCTGTAGATGGTTTCTACGAGAGGTTGCCCAAAAGATAGGACCCCCTTGACCTGGGTTGAAGGCGGCAGCTAGTTTACTCCCCGTTTGACGCGGGCGGGCCCTTTGGAGACGCAACCCATTTCTTGCACCTCAAGGGTATTGCTTCTCGACCGAAAGGCGAGAGCCATTAGATGATCACCGGTTCCGCCCCTTCCGCTCACTCAAGAGTCACTCGAAAGTCACTCCCAGCTGACTCAACCACGCCAGCAAAAGCCCAGCACAACCCTGAGATGCTCACGCCAGCGGAACTCATCAGACTCTATGCGAGTGCCTGCCAACTAGCACCAAAAGCGGCAACGCTTTTTGCGTCTTGCACAGGAGAAGCCCAAGCTATGCATACCAAGTTTGAAAATGGTATCCTCCTTGATGCCGTCCATAGACTCTGTATATCCT